GATCAGGTTTCCACTTCAGTTTTGCAGAGACACATTCAGTGTGTCTATCTGTACTGCTATCTTTATCTCTATCATCATGTACTGTTTCTACTATCAGGAAAACTGCTTTATACAGTGCCTGCTCACAATGCAGGTTCAGGTGGAGGATGGAGGTGATAAGTATTCTTGAGGAACTGACTATCCCAGCTACTACTTTTAGTGCTTCCCTGCTGGCTGAGATGGTAAAAAAAAAAATCTGCCTGCAATGCAGGAGACCTTGGTTCAATCCCTAGATCGAGAAGATCCCTTGGAGAAGGGAATGGCTATCCATCCCAGAATTCTTGCCTGGAGAACTCCATGGAAGAGGAGCCTGGCAGGCTGCAGTCCATGGGGTCACAAAACAATACTCCTCCACACAATTTTTTCACATATATGCTAAATTTCAAATACTTAAAAGACAAATTAGTATGATTTAACATCTTATAATATGATCAAATTCAGTGATTCACAAAATGCAATCTTCTAGTTACTACCATGTTGAGTCCTCCCATCACCTTAGAGGGAATAAAAATTAAAATACAAAAAAGGTTAATAGTGTTCAATCAGTAAACCTGATGCTACTATCTAGTTAAAGTTTTGTATTTCAAAGAAAGTAATTCACATACAATATGTAAGGTTCTAGAAATCACCCCCAAATCTCTTTCAGTGTATAATATTATATCAAATTTATATTCAAATAATCACTTACTTTAAAATAATCACTTTTATATTCAAATAATAAAATGAAAATATAATTATTTGAAAATTATATTCAACTAATCACTTTTGTTACTGCACTTGAGGCAGTTATCCTCACAACAGTCTTCAGCAAGGAAAATGTCATCTTTTGTTGTAGCCATAGCCTGAAAAGAATGATACTATATATATACTATAAGATGTCATTTGTTAAAAAGGAGAAGTCACAGGAATTCTCTATTTTCATTTTAAGTTGCTCTGGTCAATTTCATAGCCTGAATCAAAACTGAATAGGGAAACTGGAAAACTGCAGAAGAGACTTGCAGAAGTGAAGTCCTATTTTCTTTTACATTTTCTTCATCAGAGTTGCTATCATTCTTGTGTTATGTGGTATTATTAGGGACAGGAGCCTGGGCACACCTGATAATTGCTAAGTCATTCTCTTAAAGTAGAAGCAGAAAAAAACAAAAAACAAAAAACCAAGGCGACTGTGCAATTTTCTTATTTTCCAAATTTGCTGCTTTCCTTTCATCTCTGTAAGAATTTAAATGTGAAGACTTTTCAACTCTCAAACAACTATGGTTATAGCAATCTCCTTTGCCTTCAGTTCCTAGGTAATAATTAATAAAGTAATAATGTGCTAAATGTCTAATTTGAAATAAATATAGGTTCTTCAACTATTTTGGTTTGCTTTTTCAATTTTCATCTTCATGAAAATTTACTTTAAACTGTAACTATTTGAGAAGATTGCTTCAGAGGACAATACAGTACTTAATACATAGAAAGTGGGTTTACCCTTCCTGCTGTCTTTCTAGATTGGCAATGAATTCATATTAAATTTCAAATCAGAGCTATTTGAAAATAAAGCTGTAGTCTTTGGCTACCTAATATCAATCCTGAAACAAAATTCTCCTTGGTGTTCTTACAGATCACTGAGAATAACTACTATGGGACTACTGACTCATTTTGACATTTTCCCACTTATTCTATATTTTTCAAAAGTGCCTTTTGAATGATGATGGACTCTACCATGTAATGCCATTTGCCCAGTAGGATGGAGTTTATTTACAGTGTCATATACACGGCAACCTTGTAATTATAAATCTTCATTTTTTCCCTATTTATACTTAAATTGACTTTTGCTCTTTGTATTCTGCCCACCTCCAAATTTAGAAATTATTGTGGCTCAAAGAATCAGAAAACTTAAAAAAAATGAAAAAAAAATATTGCCAAGTCTATTTCTTAATTAAGTGAAAATTAAATGAAAAAGCAAATTGGCCAAATTTCTAAAATCTTAAACAGGTGGCTACCAAAAGCCAAACTCAAACAATAAAACCCCTATTTTAATAGGCTTGAAAAGGTTGACAGGTAAAATACAAAACACCCAATTAAATTTGATTCAGATAACAAGTGACATTTTACTATAAGTATCTCCCCAATACTGCACCTTTTGTGTTTTTATTTGCTAAATTTGGCAACCCTAAAGATTGATGTCATTTCTTTTGTGTGTGTTAGTTGCTCAGTTGTGTTCGGCTCTTTGTGACCCCATGGACTGTAGCCTGCCAGGCTCCTCTTTCCATGGAATTCTTCAGGCAATAATACTGGAGTGGGTAGCCATTTCCTTCTCCAGGGAATCTTCCCAACCCAGGGATTGAACCCAGGTCTCCCGCTTTGTAGCCAGACTCTTTACCATCAGAGCCACCAGGGGAGTCATCAATATTGTCAGTAAAATTCCCACTATTTTCATAAAGTAGAAAGCAACAACATTTGGCTCATAAAAAAATGGAAATTTAAAGTCCTGAATAACAAAAGTTAAATCAATTTCATTCATGCAGAACTGTGTATACAGGGTTATCAATGTCCACATATCCCAGCTCCAAAGAAACACCAATTCTTGTTAACCTGCATAGAATTATAATACTTTGAGCTCTAAATTATTCAGCCAACCTTGTAGGACAGAATTGCATTGTTTTCCCTCATTCTCTGTGTTCCACAATTACAATTTAAATTCCGAGATCCTTCATCAGGAGATTCAACTGTTTGATCTTTTCAGGATTAGAAACGCCATGCTCATGCACTAACTATATATCATCCAAAATTTCCTTCCTATTCGCTGGTAAGACTTCCTTACAAGTGAAATATCTGGAAATAGCATTTCCAACGTTAGCTCATTTGTGCCTTACATTTATTTTTCAAACATTAACTACCTATAATGTGTCAGGCACCCTGTTAGATGCTAGAAATACCGGGCAAGAAAATCAAAACACGTCGACAATAAAACATTTTTGTTTTCTTTCAAAAGACTTGCTGCCTACGAGGCAGCTAGAAAAAGAATTATTATTCACACATTACAGGTGAAGGAGCTAAGTGACCAAGAATTAAATGGTCTTATCTAAAGGTCCCACATTAAGAAGTAGAGCCAGGGATTCAATAATCGTCCCTCGTTTCAGGCTCAGGGCACTTTCCAGGATTTCTTCAAAGGAAAATCCAGACTACTTAGTATCTTCACCACTCAATTTACCAGGAGCAAAAAGGAAAGCGTCTGTATCCCTCTGTAATGTCCATGTACTCTTAAAAGTGGAACAGGTGTTCCGGGTGCTCAAGAAAAGCAATGCATTTTGTGGGAGTTAAAGATCCCGAGCAGCGGCTCTAGCCAGACCAATTAATCTGTGGAAACCGCAGCACTCAGCCAAGTCGATGCTGTTTCAATTGGGTGTCACAGGTGACTCATCAAAGATGGCTTGCTTTTTGGCTTCCTGATATTTTTCTTAGGGGTGAGGTGTCAGGTTTCCTTCCCATTTTTGGACAACAGCTCTCTTGTCCATTTCCAAATTTTTCTCGTTTCACAGCCCTCACATGGACCCCCGCTTTCGTACCGGAAGCTAGTCATTGGCAGGAGGTTTAGGAAAGGAAGAACCAGGTGGGGGGTGGGGGGGGGAAGAACCGGGGGCCTGGAGAGAGGCCTAAAATGGGGAAATTTGCACTTCAAGAGCTTTCCCTACCCCAGCCTCTCAGAATGACAGCTCGCCTCAGCCAGAAGACTACCTCTTCCGGCAGGCACTGCGCGCCCCACAGACACAGGCTGGCGGGCTCCCCGCTCTCCGCCTCCACCCAAAGCAGCCAATAGAAATTCCGAGCTTGGGCCTCCGCCCTACACGGACCACGCGGGAGCGGGGGCAATAGAACTACATTTCCCGACGTGCCGTTGCGCTTCTGGTGGCCAATAGACCCCCTGATTTCGGAGCTTAGGGGCGGAGCCTGATGCATAGGTCACCCCATTGGCTAGGGACGGCTTAGAAGAGCCGGAACCCGGGAGAGAGAGAAGCGAAATGACATTTCCTCTTTAAATAGCTGGAGCCCGGGCCGCGTCTAGAAATGGCCGCGTCGGCAGGTGGGTCGTGTGGTGGCTAGGGAGGTGTGGAGGGGAGGTGGGCCGGGGGCCAAGTTCGGGCTGCGAGCTTAGGCGGCGGCGATGCGGACTGGGAGAGAAGGATGGAGAGGTGGACAGAGATGAGTAGAGGGAAGATGAATGGCGTGGAGGGAGGTGGGCGGTCCGGCCGGACAGGGATGGGGAGGCCGGGTACCCGCCGCCGCTCTGACCTGTTCGCAAGGCGGTTGAGGAGGCACTGGCGGCCGCCATCCGTCGAGCTTCCCTTGTGAGGCTCCTGCCCTCCGCTCTCAGCTGGGACGTTCTGGCTGTCGGCGGAGTCGCCGCAGACACCTCGCCTGTTCTGCCTGCGCGGTCTGTCGGCGAGCACGGGGCTTCGGGCTCGCCGGGCTCCGGGAGAAGCAGGCTGGTGTTTGAACTTGCATCGCACCTCGCTCTTTCCCATATCCTATCTCGCGTTCTCATTAAGGGAGTCTATATACATATGTGTATTTTTTTAGCGGGGAGAAAGCAAGCCAAGCCAACAAACAACCCCCAGCCCCATCCCACAGACAACAACAAAACAAACACAAAAACAAAAAATAAAACCCGCAACGCCGAAACTGGCCCCGAACTTCTTGTGGTTGTACGATTTTTCTCCTCCTAGATTTAAGTAAGTCTTCCCCAACACCGAATGGAGTTCCATCTTCAGACACAGCCAGCGATGCCATGGACCCCTTGCATGCTTGCAGTATTCTTAAGCAACTCAAAACAATGTACGATGAAGGACAGCTGACAGACATTGTAGTGGAAGTGGATCACGGGAAAACATTTTCCTGTCATAGAAACGTTCTTGCTGCAATCAGCCCTTACTTCAGGTATGATGTTGGTGGAAACCTCTATTGATGTCTGCACCGAGTCCTCTTTCTCCTTCAGTACTGCCCACTTCATTTTTATTTTGAGATGCAACAATGACTGAAACTAATGCATTTGTTTCCTAAGAATAAATAACAGGCCCTATTTTATTAAGCCCCCCCCCCTTTTTTTTTAAACTGACAGATTCTTCTAGAATTCAGATGACTGGTTTTAAGTCAGTGAATATGTTTTTGTTTGTATGTTCCAGAAAAATCTAAAATTGCACTGCCCAATATGGCAGCCACTAGTCACGTGTGGCTAAACTTCACTTATCTAAAATTAAATAAAATTAAAAAAAAATTCAGTTCCTCAGGTACACTAACCACATTTAAAGTGCTCAGTAGCCACATGTAGGTAGTGGTTGCCCCACTGTACAGCCCAGAAACAGAACCTTTCCATCACTGGAAGTTTTATTGGACAGTGCTGATCTGGAATTTGTTCCAGGAATTTATCCAGGATTTCTTTAGTGCATGTTAACTCTTTTAGAATTTAAAAATTAAGAGTTTTTTTTAAAAAAACAAATTGCCCACTTAAAGGACTGTCTTAATCCCATGATGATAACAGCAGTGAAATAAAAATCAGTGAAATACAGTTTCTATGTGTGTTAGGCCCCACACTAGTGACTATTTCTAAGATTTCTAGAATTATTTAAGAGGTCAATTTTCAATTTCATTTATATTCATCTTTATATATTATAAAACTTGGAAAAGTAAAATTTCAAAACTTGGGTCTAAAAAATAATGTCATACTCTAAGAAAAGATCATTGATAAAGGCAATTTCCTGTTCAAGTTTAACTTTTTTTTTGTTTGAAGTGCTCACTTTAAGCCTTTTTTTCAAAAATGGTGCATGAATGACTGTGAAGTAATTTTCTCAACCACACAGTAAATGTATTTTTTCCTTTTGAAAGTGCTTACCATTATAGGGCATATAGCAGTGTAATGTTCCAGACAGTAGTTTCTGGTTCCTCCCTTCTCAGAATACTGGGTTACATATCGTCACTTCAGTTTGATGTTTGTGATGTAACCATTTAGATTTGCATTGGATAGGCCACTGGACTATTAAGTATTAACCATAACAAGGGAGTGACCTGGAAAGAAAAAAGAAGAAACTGGTATACACAAAAGGTATGAAGTTTGGCCTCTAATGAAAATTGCTGGTGAGATTCAGTTATCTAGGTTATCCATTAGATATGGTTAGGTCATTTATGTGTTTATATATGCTATAGTTACTGCTTATCAAGCTCTAGGCAAAGCTCACTTTACCTATGTCACTTTATATAATCTTTATAATCCTGTCTATACACTCTTGTTATTCCCCTTTTACATGTGAAAAAACTGAGGCTCAAAGAGGTTAAGTGAACTGCTTAAATCATCTAACTAGTAAGTGGCAGAGCCTGGATTTGAATCCAGAGCCAGGCTTCTTAGTCACTGTATAACTTTTAAGGAACAAGAGTGGATCCTCTTTAAATTTGAATTTACGGAAGTGTTAATTGTATGTTAGATTTAAATAGTAAAAAAAAAAAAATTGAAACTTTAAAGTGAAAATATTTATTCAGTATAATTTTATATTCTGGCTTATATCATTTGAATATCATACTTGCTTAAAATTAGTTTTGAGGACCTGACAGATCTCTTGAAAAGACGTATACTGCAGTAGATTTTCTTGCTTTCCAAGAAGTTAAGGAAACGCTTGGAAGACTTTCTAAGCATAAGATAGGTGAAGTCAAATGAAGGTATTTGGCTAGAAGACTCAAGGATTAGGTTCTTCTCACTTGACTAGAGCTTTTTGTATAGAAGTTTCTTGGGCACCAGTTGTTGCACCTTATGTGAGATGTAGAAAGTCATACTTAATATTTGCAAATCTTGCATCACTGATGGAAAAAATAGAATAGCTTGCAATCTGCCATGGCTGTTTCCTGATCCCAGAAACTTGTCAGAAATAAAATGTGTATGATTATTAGAAACATGTTGCTAAGGATTTTTGTGTGAGGAAGTACTCCCACTTTATATAGAGTTTACATAAAGAACATGATAGACCAGAGGAGAACTTGCATGTCACACTGCTGTGTGTGAGGCCAGCTTATTCAAGTCAGTAGAGTAGCTCCCTTGATAAAGGGTTATGTGGTAATGTTCTCCTTTGGGATTTAATCTTTGCATAATGAAGGGCTTTCTTTTTCTTTTTAATTGGGACCTATATAACTGAGTTTTTCAGTACCTGAATTTAAAAACCAGCTCATACATTGGAACATTTAGTTTTCAGTAATATAAGGGGGAAAAAAAGTCTGCAGGATATTAAATTTTGCATAATAGAAGTAAAATTAGGACTCAAAGGATAGTTAACCCAGGTAACAAGCCAGGTCCAGGTACCCCTGTATACCTCCAATATTACATATTGCATTTTTGAATTAATTTCATGTTTTTGACAAAGACGTTAAAAGTGGTCTGAAATCTTCCCACTCTTTTTTCATAACATCACACTTAAAATAGGAGAGGTCTGGATCTGAATAATCAAGTTTATCACCAGTGTTAGGTCAATATCTTCAACAGACATCTATTAAGCATTCTAGGGCAAACCATCCTTTTCTCAAGAGGATTTTAAAAGAGCTTTTGACCTTTTTCTAAGTTTAATTTTAAGAACTGCTTAGAAAGAAACATCAAAGGAGGAAGAAGAAAGGCAAATGATGTTTATAAATGACTAGGACTTTAAATAAAAAGCTAGGCTTTTGACTTCTTAATGGTTTGGCCAAGAAAGTACCATGCTGTGCTGTCTTAGTCGCTCATTCTGACTCTGTGGAGATTCTCCAGGCAAGAATACAGGAGTGGGTTGCCATGCCCTCTTCCAGGGGATTTTCCCAACCTAGGGATCAAACCCAGGTTCTCCGGCATTGCAGGTGGATTCTTTACCAGCGGAGCCACCAGGGGAGCCCAAGAATACTGGAGTGGGTAACCTATCTCTTCTCCAGGGCATCTTCCCCACCCAGGAATCAAACTGGGGTCTCCTGCATTGCAGGTGGATTCTTCACCAGCTGAACTACCAAGGAGGCCCTGAAAGTACCATAAAAGCACATTAAAAAAGAAAAGGAAAAGAAAGCTTGGTCTCAAAGACAAAAACCTGGAATTTTTGAAAAGGAACAAAATCAGATCTGCAACAAATCAGTTAATTCTTAAGTTCTCTTTAGAAGTAGGAATTTTATTAATATTAACCCTAGCCAGATCTTTATTTATGGCCTCCCAGGTGGCTCAATGTTAAACAACCCATCTGTGATGCAGGAGACAGGGGTTCAGTCCCTGGGTTGGGAAGATCTCCCAGAGAAGGATATGGCAACCTACTCCAGTATTCCTGCCTGGGAAATCCCAGGACAAAGGAGCCTGGAGAGCTACAGTCCCTGGGGTTGCAAAGAGTCAGATACGACTGAGCATCAATGAGGCTGACATTTTTATTTATAAATAGATAAAACTATGGTAACTTTGAGAAAATCAAGTATATTGCTTGATTTTCTCAAGCAAAAGGATAACTGATGAATTGATGTGCTTTATATTCTTTATAGTGATCAAGGAAACATTCAAAGGATAATTATTTTAAAAAGGAGTAGGAAGAAAATAAGAACTTCTGAAGAACATCTTATGTTTCTAAGCTAAAATTATTAAAGATATATTTTGGGAACAGGTTGCCTTGTAAAATTTCCACTGGGTTATGAGAAGTTCTTTAGACAGTCTCTATATGCTAATGTATCACACTGATGCCCCGTAGGTATTTGAAAACTTTCTGACTGACCTGGTGATTGAAGATCTTAACTCCCTAAAGCAACTTGACCAGAAGCCTGCATAGGGTTCCAAGGAAAATAAGATGTCCTGGAATATGTCTTGCCACTTTTCAGTTTGATTTAGTTAGGTATACTCTGCTTTTCTCAGAGTTGGCACAAAGTAGATCGACTGGTCCTGAGAACAGGGTCTCTTTGAGATTAGCCAGATTAAATCCTTCTGCTAGATGATCCACTTTATCCCTTTCCTGATATTCAGGATATCAGGAAACACATTAGGACATGTTTTTCAATTTCAAAAGGTGATCCTTGTGATAATTTTATGCTTTTACAAGCTTGCCACAATAATTTTTATTTGTAGTGCACATAAATTCACCACTCTTTCCTTCCTAGATCCATGTTCACTAGCGGCCTTACAGAAAGCACTCAAAAAGAAGTTCGAATTGTTGGTGTTGAAGCCGAGTCGATGGATTTAGTGTTGAACTATGCCTATACCTCCAGAGTTGTTCTGACAGAGGCCAATGTTCAAGCCTTGTTCACTGCAGCTAGCATCTTCCAGATTCCCTCCATCCAAGACCAGTGTGCTAAGTACATGATCAGTCATTTGGACCCACAAAATTCTATTGGGGTCTTCATCTTTGCCGATCATTACGGTCATCAGGAACTTGGAGATCGATCTAAAGAATACATTCGTAAAAAGTTCCTGTGTGTCACCAAAGAACAGGAGTTTCTTCAGCTGACAAAAGACCAACTGATAAGTATCCTAGACAGTGATGATTTAAATGTAGACCGGGAAGAGCATGTTTATGAGAGTATTGTAAGGTGGTTTGAACATGAACAGAATGAAAGAGAAGTGCACCTTCCAGAAATTTTTGCCAAATGCATACGTTTTCCTCTGATGGAAGACACCTTTATAGAGAAAATTCCACCTCAGTTTGCACAGGCTATTGCCAAAAGCTGTGTGGAAAAGGGACCAGCCAGTCCCAATGGCTGTACACAGAGACTTGGAATGACTGCATCGGAAATGATCATATGTTTCGACGCAGCCCACAAACACTCAGGAAAGAAGCAAACAGTGCCTTGTCTAGATATATTCACAGGAAGAGTGTTCAAACTATGCAAACCACCAAATGATCTGAGAGAAGTTGGAATTCTTGTATCACCAGATAATGATATTTACATTGCAGGAGGGTACAGGCCAAGCAGCAGTGAGGTATCCATTGACCACAAGGCAGAAAATGATTTCTGGATGTATGACCATTCCACCAATAGGTGGCTTTCCAAACCGTCCTTGCTTCGAGCCAGAATAGGCTGCAAACTGGTGTACTGCTGTGGTAAGATGTATGCAATCGGAGGGCGTGTCTATGAAGGTGATGGGAGAAACTCACTAAAATCTGTGGAGTGCTACGACAGCAGAGAGAACCGCTGGACTACTGTTTGCGCCATGCCTGTTGCAATGGAGTTTCATAATGCCGTGGAATACAAAGAGAAGATCTATGTTTTACAGGGTAGGTGTCTAAGTGGTTAAAGTATTTATTGGAGTAGTCTGTTCTTTAAGGGACTAGTAAAGAAAATAAAATTTTCAATCAAAAAAGGCAGATGCTTTCAAGTTCCTAAAATGATCATGTAAGTTTTTTATGTTCTTACTGTCGTTTGACATCATGTGACATAAGTATTTTTGAAAACTTTTTTTTCCCATAAATAATAGTTCAGCATTTGAGAAAAAACTATTTCTGTGCCATTTTAAAGACTTTAAACAAGGAAGCAAGTTTGATACATGACTTTTTGTAGTTGAATGATATATAATCAAGGGATGGTAGCAAGTATTATTCTTATGGAACTTACTGGATTAGCTTAAAAGAGAAAAAAAGAACAAATCCTCAACTGCAGTTATACTGTTCAGTTGCCAAAGAATTTTGTATGAAGTCTTATATGGCAAAGGTTATGAAACTCACTTACAAAGAGTTTGAAATCACACTGTTCAAGATTTTAATTTCACTGCAGTTAATGTTGTCATCCATAATACAGTGTTTTCAATTTTTTTTTCACTGAAAAATTTTGAGATGTCATCTTTTCAACATTATAAGATGAGCGGGATGATAATATGCTTAGCTTAAAAATTTTTGTTTAAACAATTGAAGACTGGTACCTTGGTAAAGATACAAGAAAGAGGAACTGAGTAACAGTAAATAAGATACTTGATTCAAGGTTCTGATTTGTGCTAATATTTTCCTTGTGTTTTGTTTCTTATTTTAGTTGCTTGAATGCTGAATACAGTATTGACAATACCAACATCCTTCTTCTTCTTTTGCATTTCTTAACTGCTTATATATAAATGCTTTTCTTCACTACTATAAAAAAAAATAAGGAAAGGGGTGCAACTTCTGTGTAGATACATATGATTTTTTAGTTTTTTTCCCCATTGTAAGTTTTTTTTTTTTTTAATGTTCTTTGCTGTAATCCTTTATTTGACTTAAAATTTCTTAGAAATGCCTAAACCCATTTGTTTAAACTTCAGTGTAAAGTTAATTCTCCAGAGAGAGTAAGGAATACTCTCTTGTGCCTCATTTTAATTGAATGGAAGCCTGAGATGATGTAGGTTTGTTGGTCTTGCCAAAAAATGGAGTATCTGAATGAATGTAAAATCTATCAAGAATGGTTAGATAGGGCTTCCTGGGTGGCTCAAGTGGTAAAGAATCTGCCTGCAGTCCTGGAGAGCCAGGTTTGATCCCTGGGTTGGGAAGAGCCCCTGGAGAAGGGACTGGCTACCCACTCCAGTATTCTTGCCTGGAGAATTCCATGACCTGAGGGGCCTGGGGGGCTACAGTCCATGGGGTTGCAAAGAGTTGTATACAACTCAGCCAGTAACACATTCACTTACATGGTTGGATAGGTTATATCATCCAATATGATGAAGCTCTCTCTTCATAGATTTTTGGTTTTACTGGCTAAGCAGTTATTTCTTAGTAGAGACAGAATTAATTAGAAGACTCCCAAATGGAATGTAAAGGTTGTATATTAATTTAAATACAAAAGCAAAGTAACAGTGAATTAACAGAATTTCAGGGTTGGAATGAACATTGTTTAATCAGATTGTATAAGACAAATCTGAGGCACTGAGGGTTTTAATTGCCTATTACTGGTTTTAGTTTATTAAAGACGACTTTAGGTTTAAAAATCAACTTTTAAAATGTATTATCTTTCCTCTTTATAAGAAATTTGTAGCGAGGTAGTACATGGTAAAAAGTGTTCATTCCTGTCTTCTTTATTAAGAATCCTGTTACATTTTAGTCAAAAAGCATAGGGAATATGCAGGCAGAAGCTGAGAGTTTAATAAGCTATTTTATGAAAACCTGGATTTTTTTCAGCATCACTTTTATTAGGTAGGCAGTTATATTTATCAATAGGAGTTAACCTAGTTCAGAACAGTTTTGAAGGGGAAGCTCAATTTAGAAGTAGGTACTTCTGATCTAAACAAAGCCTCTTAATATAAATAAACTTGACATGAATAGTCAGAAGATCATGCCCTACTGTCAGTGGCTATTGGAGTACCACTTAATCTAATCATAAAGGGTTCAGATTTTCATAGCAAAGATTTTATTTGATTCTTTCAAATCAAAGATTTTAATGTTATAATTAGCCAAGCTCTTGTAAATCTTCACTAGCTTAATTCTTTTAGACATTATTACATCGGCAGTGTGACTCAGCACACCTTTTCATTGTCAAAACAGAATGGAAACTGCCTCAATTCTATAAATGATGTGCATGTTTTCTATCAGCTTAAGGTCATATTTTCTCCTCTTGATATTTGTCTTTGCCTTATAGCAACACTAAAGTAAACATATTAGTGGCCCACAGATACAAATCTGAACAATTCTATGTACTACCTTATAATTAAATAACTAGCACATAAATTTATAGTGGCTTATTCATGATTGAACCTATATTCATATTTTGATCTTACTGGCTAACCATTAGTAATAATACTTTTTATAAGAGCTGGCTTAAAATCAATTTTCTGAAATACCCAGATATTTGGATAGAGTAAATGAAACCAAGCTCTTAACCCTTATACTGCCATCAAGCCAAAGTAACTTCTCATACTTACCCAGTTTGAATGCCCCAAATCAGGTTGATTCTAATATTATGTTATGTTGTGCCATGGGATGTAGATGTTTTAAGCTATCTTGTATTTAAATGTTCATATTCTTGTTTTGTTTTCTCTCTCTCTTTTTTCCTTTCTCTTTCTTTAGGAGAGTTTTTCCTCTTCTATGAGCCTCAGAAAGACTACTGGGGTTTCTTAACCCCCATGACTGTGCCTAGAATCCAGGGCTTAGCAGCGGTATACAAGAACTCTATCTACTACATAGCTGGGACCTGTGGAAATCATCAGCGGATGTTTACTGTAGAAGCCTATGATATTGAGCTCAATAAGTGGACTCGTAAGAAGGACTTTCCATGTGATGAGTCCATAAACCCATACCTTAAACTGGTACTTTTCCAGAATAAACTCCATTTATTTGTTCGAGCTACTCAAGTGACCGTTGAAGAACATGTCTTCAGAACCAGCAGAAAAAATTCCCTTTACCAGTATGATGATATCACTGACCAGTGGATGAAAGTGTATGAGACCCCAGATCGCCTCTGGGACCTTGGCCGGCATTTTGAATGTGCTGTTGCTAAACTGTATCCTCAGTGTCTTCAGAAAGTACTTTAATGAATGGCAGGCCTTAGTGAGCTCACCGGCATCTTGTGCTGGAGGAAACTTAAGTCTTTCAGTGATAAGAAGTGCTGTCAGTATTTAAGAAAGCTGAAGAGAGTTTACACGTGGAGATGGGTGCTGTTTGAGATGAGTGTAGCGAGGGATTTCTTTTCATCCATGTGATGTTTTCATTTCAGTAAGCAAAAGGTAACAAAGTGCAATTATCAGCATTTTTTTTCCTGGTATAAAAGTAATCACATCATTCTAGAATTGTGTGATGAATAGTCACTGAGATACCAGACGAATTGACAACTATGCACTCTTAGAAGAGCAGTTAGGGTACTATGGATTAGAGACATCCAAAATAGTTTGATGTGACTTTTTATTTTAAATACGGGTAAAAATTTGAGGCAATATCACTAGGACTTTAGCTGTGACCTCTCTGCTACAGAGACGCACTAACTTAGATCCTCATTCTGAATATGTGTATATTTTGTGTACTGTTTTCACGTTTACTGGATTTAAATGTGTTATTAGAGTAGTTTGAAGGAAAAACAAATCATTCTCAGAAAGAGCTTTTAGTTGGATTATTTTATATTTCCCATGTTACTTTAAGTTAAGCTAAAGTTTTAAAGTAGTTTTGTGTTGACAGTTTTTTCAAGTGCTAACACTGTCTCATTGTTTTTGTTTTTTTTAAATCCAGAGTAGGGTTCAAATTCAAAGGTGGCTGGTGCTAGTATAATTTAACTCATGTGTATAGTTAGGTGTATTTCAAATGTCTGAGCCTATGCTTACCTTTCAAATTGGTATGTTAGTTTCATGACCATAGTACTTGACCTGCTGAACTCTTGTGATTTCACAAGATTCTCTACTTACATGATGGCAAGCTATGGCTAGTTACTGGTCTAACTGGATTCAATCTGAGAATAGTGAAAAGACTATTATCCTCATTTTGCACTAACATGGGCCATTTTGTTGCCTAACCTCCTTTCCATCCTCTACCTGTCCATTCATTATCGGTACAAACAGAGCAGAATGTGAAGTTTTAACTCCTACTTTTAAAATTCTGTTTTCCAGAAACATAAAACTCCTGCAATAGTCTCATTTAATGTCTTTTGCATTACCTTTGACAATTAAAACCTCATTTAAAAAAATTTTTTTGCACTTAACAGTTATGAATATTTTTGCATTGAAAACCTTTGTTCTAACTGCAGGTGACTGAGAAGGAAAAGTGTGAGTGAATAGAACTGTAGCATTATAGGTACTAAATCATTTTTCATATTTAACTGATTAATTTCTAACAGAAATACTCACAGAGAGGACAAACCAACTCATGTGTTATACCTAAGGCAGATATTTAGATCAGTAACTTATTTTTTACTCTTCCCGGAATAAGTAATAAAGGATATAAGTATAGCCAGAGTCTGTCCTTAACTGGAACATTTTGATTCCCTTAAAGAAAACAAACTGGCACGGTTTGTATTAAAAACTCTTGCACAAATTGTAATGTGATACTGTGAAACAAATCGAAAACATTGCCTCTTTGCATCACATACCTCGTTTTTCGGAAACTTTCCAAACTGCTTGTCTTAGCAGAGAACGTTTCCTGAAGCCGAATTGAAAGTGGACAGCATTTAGAGAATTGACATTATAAAATCCAGTCTTGGGAAGCTGGGTACATGCTTTCTTCTTGCTGGCCTTGGTAGTGTGTCTACAGTCTCCTTACTGACTGTCAACTAATCACCTATTCTTTTTCTTCTCAGTTTTTCTTTATCTTCGTGCTGTTTTGGGGCTTTTTCTGTGAGCATTTTGAAGCATCTACACCGTGATGCATTGCCAAGGGAAGGAAAAACCAAACTAAACATTATAAGAGATGTTCCCGTAATTTATTTTTGAAAGCTTTGTTGCTTCCTGAGACTTCTGCCGCTTTTTGACAATCTCCTGTATTTATTTAGAACACTGTGTTACTTGAAAACATGACATTAGAACATTAACAATTTACATGTGCTGTGTGATGTATAGGAGTACAATGTACTGTGGTTAATTCTGCAGTCGATTTATTCTATTGATCTGCACAACAGTTGATCCTCTAACAATTGATCCTCTAACAGTTTATATTGAGGGTGTGATCTAAGGATAGTGTGTCGAAGCCAAGGTTTAGAATTTGCTATGGAAGTATCAATAGAATGTATATTGAATTTTGTATGAATAACTATTTGTTTAAATTATATAGCTGGGATATTTTGCCACTTTTCAGATGATTTCAGAAGAGGTTCTAGAAAACTAAGATTAGTCATATGTGTGGGTCTGTGTTTAGATATTTAAGGTACATTTGCTTAGTATGATGAGAATATAAGTAAAAGGCATAATGGGCACTATAGAATTAAAATAGAGGGTGACAGATGCCAGTTCCACTTGAGCTTTGTTTTTTTGCATTTGAAGAAAGTATGTAGCACTTTCCTATGTATTTTTTATACATTGAAAACTGGATGTGGTATAACTATGTTTTAGGGAAGTAGAAATTGTATTCTCTATTTTCCATCTTTGTTTTCTGTTATCCTACAAAGTTGATGCTTACGCATCAAGCTGATTTCATGGGTGCATGAGAGAAAGTGGATGCGGTCTTGCAAGGATCAGACGCTCTGCGTGAGGCAGTTTAAAGCGGCACTCGACGTTCTGTGCTCAGGTAGTCACGTACTGTAGTCCTTTGGGGGCAAACGTGTAGATATTTTTAAACATTTTGCCATAATTGCACAATTTTTTGCATTTTTACCTGATGGCATTGTTTCTTGTAATAAAACTTTTTTCTGACGGAAAAGGTCCACTGTCATAAATTGACCTCTGACCTAGCGAGTTTGGTGAAGATCATGTAATACCTTTTATTGGGAACTGGAGGAGATTTTCATCTACCAAATGCCTGGTCTCTGGTACGAAATGAACAAGGTAATTCATAATGCTTGAATAATGCTCTTGAAATTCTGAAGCAAGCTCACTCATCGGTAGCCCCTTTGTTGAGTGGTTCTGCCCTCATCTCTTGGTGTCCCACTCCTCTCTCTCACAATTTACGTCAACCCATAAGGAAATCCTGTTGCCTCTTCCTTCAAAATAGACCTCGATTCTCACCACATATCTCTTGCACCACTGTCACCCTAGTCTAAACTAGCCGACCTTGTCTGCCTTAATGCTGTGCCACTGAATTGATCTTTTCTCCATCACCTTTGACTCCTTGTCATCTATTCTGTCCACACAGTAGCCAGAGCAATCCTGTTGAAACATAAGTCAGATTACTTTCTTCTGCTCTGATCCCAGTGGCTCCCCATCTCCCTTCATGTGACAGCCACACCCCTTCCTCCCATGATCCATCCCAACCCTACTCTTGGGACCACATTGCTGTTCCACCTGCTCACTCCATTCCAGCCACACTGACTGCTGTTCCAAGCCCCTCCAACATCGAGGCCTTTTTCTTTGCTGTGTCTTCTGCTGAGGAAGCCCTGACAATGCACTTATTTCAGTATTAAAACTCCAGACAGGCCTTCCCTGACCACCTTGTGTAAAACAATGCCTTCCAAACTCACCCCCACCCATACCACCAGTCTTTTCCCTATTTATTTTTCATACATCTCCCCCCATTCAAATGTAAGTTCCATGAAGGCAAGGGATTTATTTTATTTCTTGTTCACCTCAGCCCAGCGCCTGGAACCTACAAGGCATTCAAAGTTTGTAAAAAACAAGTTTTCATTTCAGTCTTCGAAAACCCTGAGAAGTGGCAGAACCAGTGCTATCACCTCTGTTTTATCAGATCAGAAACACAAAGCCCAAGTAAATTGCTGAAGGTCATGTAACTAATGAGACGCTCACCCAGGATTAGAGCCAAGCACTCCAGTTTGACTCAATCTAGTTCGGACAGGTGCTCCATTGAAAAGTGAAAGTGGCACCGTGGTGCCTGACTCTCTGCTACCTCACGGACTATACAGTTTATGGAATTCTTCAGGCCAGAATACTAGAGTGGGTAGCCTTTCCCTTCTCCAGGAGATCTTCCCAACCCAGGGATCGAACCCCAGTCTCCCGCATTGCAGGTGGATTCTTCCCTGAACCACCAGGGAAGCCCAAGAATACTGGAGTGGGTAGCCTACCCCTTCTCCAGCAGATCTTCCTGACCCAGGAATCAAACCAGGGTCTCCTGCATTGCAGGCAGATTCTTTACCAATTGAGCTATCATGGAAGCCCTAGTTTCTCCATTGTGTGTTAGTTGTTCAGTCTCGTCCAACTCTTTGCGACCCCATGGATTGTAGCTCACCAGGCTCCTCCATCCACGGGATTTTCCAGGCAAGAATACTGGAGTGGGTTACTAGTTCCTTCTAAACAAAACTGATAGAAAAGCAGATGTTCTACATTTTGTGTTTACTGGTTGCCTTTTCTGAGTCCCACCTTTTTTCCAATACTATTATTTAAATTATCTACTGTATGTCATGGGATTGCAAAGAGTTGGACACAACTTAGCAACTGAACAACAACAACTCTATATTATGACTGTGATTAGCTCTCAACAAGGGAATGCACCCCACCTGCACTCCTATAATTACATCATTATGCTTATATACCACTGTACTGAGTTCTATCCCTCAAACAAGTTGATGAAAAAGGCTTGAGAAATACTGATTTAAATTAGAGTGCTGTTACTTTGGTTCTCTGTGAAGTTAAAATAACTTGCCAAATTAAAATCTTGGCTGTATGACTTTTTTTTTTCTTAATTGACAAATTATTTGCAAATATAAAAATTAAAAATAAGTGGTCTGGAATCTAACTCTTCAAAAAGTGAAAGAAAGTGAAAGTGAAGTCGCTCAGTTGTGTCTGACTCTTGGCCATCCCATGGCCGTGGGATTCTCCAGGCAGGAATACTGGAGTGGGTTGCCATTCCTTCTCCAGAGGATCGTCCCAACACAGGGATCGAACCCAGGTCTCCCGCACTGCAGGCAGACTCTTTTATTGTCTGACACACCAGGCGCTCCAAAAGAATGCTGTAAATGCCACCTAGTTTTTTGAAGTGAAAGTTGGAATTTTATAAAATGGAGTAAGGAAAAAAGTTTTTTCCTCAACTAATGTATCCCTCAATTGATGCTTTCAAACTGTGGTGTTGGAGAAGACTTTTGAAAGTCCCTTGGACAGCAAGGAGATCAAACTAGTCAGTCCTAAAGGAAATCAACCCTGAATAGTCATTGGAAGGACTGATGCTGAAGCTGAAGCTCCAATACTTTGGTCACCTGATATGAACAGCCGACTCATTGGATAAGACCCTAATGCTGGGAAAGATTGAAGGGAGAAGGAGAAGAGGATGTCAGAGGATGAGATGGCTGGATGGCATCATCAATGCAATGTACATGAACTTGGGCAAACTTTGGGAGATGGTGAGGGGCAGGGAGGCCTAGCATGCTGCAGTCCATGGGGGTCTCAAAGAGTCAGACATAACTAGGTAACTGAACAAATGTGTCTAGTATATACTAAAGGTTCTTGACTTGAAACTTTGGTAGACAGAATTTAAATGCCTTTCAAAAGTAACTATGAAGTGGTAGTATTACTACTACCAGTTCTAATAAATATCAAGTTAATTTGTCCTTCATTCTCATTCTCCACACTTCATTTTGATGATCTGTATTTCTTTGGTAGAAGACCCCAGAATCTAGAGAGTTGGACATCTGGTTCATGGATTTGATGATTCTCCTTCCTTTTTGGTAACCTTTAGCCTAGTTTACTTGTATAGGTTCATAAGGAAGCTATTCTACACATTTGAACAGGGGAATCAATAGGGCTGCCACCCCAGAGAAAGGAAAAAGTGAAGACACTCCATCATAAAGTATATATTTGGAGATTTAAATTGCTATGCCACAGCTAAAATTTTAATTTATTAAAGTATAAAGTATTTTATGCCTACTGAGAGGGACATAGTTCAGTATGACTTAAGTAACCACAGACACAATATTCCACTTCTAAGTCATGTATTTTAAATCACTCAAATGATAGAAAGTATGTAATAAGCTTCCTACTAGCTACCACCTCCATTATTTAAATCCACTTGCTCAAGAACCCTGCAGTTAGGTTTTTTGGATTTCATTGAGATGCCAATCCCAGGACTTTTTCTACTATCCATCAGCTCCTACTGGGGACTTTTTCTGAACTTACCCATCTTAAATTCCATAATCTATTCAAAATAATGCCATTTTACATTTCCTCAGTTCCTTCTTGTTACTGCTGCCATACTTGCCTGTAAAACCCCAACTCTGAAGATCCTGGCTATGAGCCTCCTCTGTGCTTGGGCCCTGAGTGGAGGAATATTGCTGGAGAAATTCCATATGTTCATACTGACTCTCTTTGACATGATGGACCTACCATGGGTTCTCAGCAAAATGGAGCAGTTTTTACCTTTTCTCAGACTTCTGTATGTCTATCTTTTATCCCTCTTGGTTATTAGTTCTGTACTTTTCTTCCTGATGTATCGAGGTGGCAGCCATTATATAGGTGCTCCCCTTTCCTTCCACCATCTGCCTAAATCTTCTCTGCTTGTCCTTTTAAAATATGTGAAGAAAATAAGCTTTTTCTACCCATAGTTGCTTTCTGCTCCAGTTCCTTCACCATCCCCTTTCCTAAGTCATCCAAAAATCCCCCTCAGATCGTTCGACGAAAACAAAAAATGCACTTTTCTCTACCACTTAGCAAAACAAACACAAACAGCAACAGATTGTTTTTTAGTGCAGCAGCTCCCTCCACTTCATGCCCCTACCCTCGGCTTCCATGAGAGCCACAGTTTTGCAATGGGGTTGTTCCTACAAATGTTCGATTTCCCAGCTTTCATTCACTCTTCAACCTACTGCAGTCACTACATTCTCCTCATAACCAAAACTCCTGTCATCAAGGTCTCCAACAACATTAAGCTGTAAATTCATTTTGCACATTTCCGTCCTTAACTCACTTGACTTCACAGATGTGTTTGGCACAGTTGACTCCCATATTCTGAAGCCTTCCTGGGACACCATGCCCTGAAAATTCTCATTACTCACTTCTTACTAACCCTCCTTTACAGGGTCCTTCTCTCCCTGAGTCCTCTTCTGTCTTCTCCTCTCAACTGACCTCACCTATTTCTTTGGCATTGGAATGCTATATGCATACTGATGACTTTCAAATTTATATTTTCTAACCACATCTCAACTCCTGTCTCCAGGCTCCCATCCAACTGCCTACTAGATAGCTCCTGTTCAATTGGTGGACACATCTCAAGCTCAGCATCTTTAAATCTTCCTTTTCTATTATCCCCTGAAAAGCTCCATCTGCAAAATGCAATTTATACCTGTCCACCCCTCTCCATTTCCACTACTCTCACCTATGCTGAAGCTAGACTTCTACTGCCCGGCCCGCTACAGCGGCACCATAACAGTTCTGCCTATTTCAACTTAAGCCACATCCTCAGTCTCCATTCCCAGTAAAACAGCCAGAGTGATCTCACACAAACGGTATTGTGTTATTGCCAAGTGTGGGACATAGCAATTGCCTACCATCAGGTGCTGCAGAAATGGCCTCCTGCTCACTCCTCCAACCTTACCCAGTGCCACTTTTCCCCTGGCTACCTGTCCTTTAGGTCCACGGCTGTGTCTAAAGGCCTGTGCGTGTTTCTCCCAGACACACCTGGCACTCACTGTTTCCAGGCCTACTGACCTTTATGACTTTCAGCTGTCACACAGGCATTCAAGTTACAGGCAGTTACCCCTGAGGAGCAGCTTACAACCAGTTCTGATGGGAGCTGGTGGATAAAGATCCCAGTTTCTGTCCATAGGTGGGATAAGTGAAGCATGTTCTCCACTGTCTCCTCGAGTTCCTCATTGAAAATGAGCCCTAGTTGCCCATAATACCTGCTTGATAACCATGTCTTCTCCTATTCATTTTTTTCTATCCTACGAATGCTTCTTGAGACCACCTTCTCTCCCCATAATTAACTACCTGCATTCAGATCCTTGTTCTTGCACTCAAATCCTGGCTCATGGCTGGCTTCTTCAATAACTCAACCTAAGACACTGGCCATTTTTTCAATCCCTCAATAAATCTATATTATGGGCTCTCTTCATGCTGTCCCCTTGCACTTGGAAACTTCTGTCCTTCACCTCTGCTCTTTGCATGACGATTTTGTTCTTATATTTCAAGTCTCAATAAGATCTCACTAGCTAAATCCTATTGCAGTTATTAAACTTTTGTTTAAAGAAAACAATCCTAAATGAACTAAATGTCC